CTCCGCCCCAAATTAACGTGTGACGTCACAATGACGTCATTTAGTGGCGTTTTTTCAAAAAATGCCACTGTTTTTTTATTTTTTTAATTTGTGCTGCGCCCTACAATGACGTCATTTTGTGGTGTTTTTTAAAAAAACGCCACTTTTTTTTTTTTTTTTTTTTTTTTTTTTTTTTTTTTGATATAGTGGATTCTAAATTAGTGCGGTTGCAAGTATACCTAGAATGAATATGTTCACATTTTATTTTCTGTCATTTTTTCCAAGTGTAGTATTTTAAAACCTGCAAATCAAGTAATGTTCTACATTTTAAAACCAGCAATTCATCAATCTCTTGATCTCTATGGGTTGTTCACCCCTTATTCAACATCAGTGATTATACCCAACAACAAAGTATATCTAGATCTCTGGAATTCAAGTCATGCCCCATAACAACACAGTATCATTGACTCTATTATCCAAAACATGCAGTTCATTTCTAGCTAATTACAAACTAACTTGAAAAACAAAACAGTTGTGATTTACAAAAAAATGAAAAAAAGTATCGTCTGTGTTTCCTAAATCGCTCCGGACTTAGGGAGCAAGCAAATCATATCTTTGGTAAGAGCAGCAATTTTCAGATTCTGCGTCTCCCAATTCTGTTGTGCACTGTGCACTATATTCGTCACTTGCTATTAAGCCGAAAGCAATGAGCAGCAAAAATATTTTTGCAAAATCTAATGTTTTGTAGCACAATGTTATTGTTTATCAACCTCTTGTAGTTTGAAAACTCCAAGTTAATTGCATTTCTCACCAATTATATTGAAAATATCAGCGACAAAAGCACTCTCCACAAAGCATCTCTCACCATTCCACCTAAGGGAAAGCAAATAAATGCAACAAAATATCAGGTGAACACCTTCCCAATGCTGAATATTTTAATATAAATTGATGATGATCTAAATCCATATGCAATAGCCAAGTCAATCAAAGACTTAAAATGTTTATGACCATGCACATCATAGAACTCAACTAACTAGACTGAACCTGAAGCCAATCAACAAATAAGTGAGAAGGAGAAAGCAATCCAACTAGAATAGTTTAGAATGAACCTGAGTTTATATCTACTTCTTCTTCTTTTCTTTCTTTGATATGTGAACCTGCATTTGATAAGAACAAATAACATGAATAAAATGTCATATGAAAATTTCATAATTAACTATTTACTCACTTTCTCAGACGAACGATGGCAATTAAACGATGAGGTGTATGCATGGGATTGTTGTTGTGAATGCACATGTGTAGCAGCTGGTGCAACAGGCCCACCCATGGCCTATTGAGACTCCCATTGCTCTATTCGTTCTTGTTGATCTTGGATTGTGCCTTGCATCTCCATTTGTACTTTTTGTTGATTAAGCATAGCATCTATCATCTCTTTTATTTGCATCTCCATTTGTGCTTTATATTGGTTAAGTTGCTCTTAGACTTGCATTTGGATGATACGAGTTTGTTCTTGCGATTGCGTATATCCGCCTCTAAAGACATCTGTCGGAGAAGGACCCAATCCATATGTTCGAACACGACTAGGTCGCTCAGGCCCTAGAACCTGCATGATAATTTCTTCATCTGTAACATTGGATTGCGCCCCAAGATCCTTCATTTGTGTCTACAATTGTTAATTAGTAATTAGCCACCAATAAAATTCAGCCTACGAGCAAGCCATAATTAGTTAATTCTCACTTCCAATTTGCAGGCACTGTTAAAGGTTATATATAATTACTGACTACCTTATATATATGTTTGTAGTAGATTTATGTCTTTAATTCAATAAGAGTTCAAAATTACTTGGGTTGATATCATAAACATCTTGAAGCCAGTGCTCCACTTAGTCTCTGGAGTGAGCACTTGAAATGATTTCTCAAACTAATCATAGCTGTCAGTGTTCTGCAAAATGCATTATTATAATTATGGTGCTATATACCATGACCGCATCAACTTTATCATTACTTGGTTTGTTATCCTTCGAGTACCCAGCCATCCACACCTCTAAGCGAGTTGCAGGAACTCCATTCTTCTTATTAGTTTCCTACAATTACACTTAAAATTAAGTAACAAAATCAAAATATACAATTTCAATTTGAAATATAAAGAAACTATATACCTCTACTTGGACAACTGAGAATGGTTTTCTGCCAGTTATGTGATTTAATGTCTTCTTCTTCCGAATTTCTTTGTTTTTTGTACTTTTTTTCTATTACATATGAACACAAACACAAGATAATTTATTAATTAACAAACTCATCTTATGAGATTACGATAAAGATCAATAAACAATTTAAATGATACCTGTGCCTTCCGAGTGCCCCAATAATAGACTAAGCTTCGTCATTGATGCTCATGCACTCTTTCGAGTCGATGAGTTAACCTATCAGCATTATTGTCGAATGATACCCATTCAACCACACTGACATTCCCAGCACCACGGTAAAGATTACTAAACAAAATCTAAGATACCCATTCTGGGACAACTTGGCTGAATACAAACCAAAGGTTTACTTCAGGTTTTTACATTTTAGTCTATCTGAAAATCTCAAGCATCATGACACTCATGTAAAACCATTAAGTCCAGTTATTCCAGTAGCACACTGTTCATCACTCAATTGATATCAAATTACTCAGATACAATCTCTATTGGAGGCATCACCGTAACATGCATATCACTATCAATTCAAAAACCTAAAAAATTGATGACTCAAAATGTGCACATCTTCTTCAAATAGCAATTTTAAAATTGAACTTTTCGCCCAAGAAACATATGACTGAACTATCAGTTGAACGGATATAAAAAAGGCATGCTTTGAATGATACCTTGTGCAAATGAATCATTGGAAGTTTTTTGTTCTTCAACCACAAGCTGGATATGTCTAGTAACTTCATTCTCTCATTTTTTATATCAAAACAATTCTTACAATGATAAGTAAGATTGAACATAGTGCTGTGAAACATGTAGAGTCTATGCTAAATGGAAAATGAAGCTACTACAAGTAAGATGTAAACACAAGTTACTTTAAAAAATACCTCATCCAAAAGAAATTCTCGAAAGAAGTTCCCCTTCTCTGACAATAGAAATGCCAAGGCTGCTCTTGTTTGAATTGGCTGCTCTGATTGAGATGAACTAAATGGAAATGGAAATATGGGGACATTGCTTCTTTGAATTTGCAGAAAACCAAGCTCAGCCATATCCCCATTCGGATCCTCACCACCTCCACTTTTGGCTGCAGTTCTAAAATTCTCAAAGGCTTGCATAACATCTATGAGTCTTTTAGCATCAAAAACTCCAGATTTTCCATATATTGCGCAGCGTAAAGCACTCCTTAGACGTGGTGATTCATCAGTCAGGAGCCTCTGACATTACAATCAAAATATATAAATAAAATGCAAAGAAATAAGAAATGGTATTGTAAACTTCAATCTAGACCAATATCTAGCAAAAACATAGGAACAATATATTACACCAAAAATGTTAGTGAAATAAAATAGTAATGCACAATTGGTTATTAAACAAGGCAAAGTGCATACAGTATTTTTTATGAACAAATGCATCCCCTGGTTCAAGTCTCATAACAAAAACACTCTAACAAACTATATCAGCTACCAATTACCAGCCCAGATTGGCACTAAAAATAACATATTAGGTATTTGTTTTAAGGGTAGTTGAACTGGAGATTTATATATGAACCTCAAAAATGATTACACAATGAACATCATAACCATTGAGGATGATGAAATTTTTTTAAATAACTTTTTTGTGAAAAATTTTCCCCTCAAATATTAGCCAAGTTGATTAGATGATGCAGTCAGAACAAATTAGCTACCCCATATAATAACTTCAAATTTTGTTCATTTTGGATTCCTTATGTTTGTTGAAATTTGATTATATCCACTGAAAGAACACAACTCTCTTTAAGACATCTTAAAGCCTGCCACATAAAACTTTCAATTCAAATAAATATATCCACGACACAATTTGAAGCACATATACTTGATATCTGAGGTAGCTAAATAAAAAGAATTAACCAATAAAGAAATAATCAAATTTTAGTAACTAAGAAGAGTCAAAAAAGTGTTTTCAGAATATTAATTTCAAGCATACTGATTTAAATCCAAATTGAAGCCATGAATCTAAATGGCACAAACTTTACCATAAGGATTAACATAAATAAAACCATATTCTTCCACCAATCTATCAAACTGGAAAACGACATTCAATTGCACTTGCAATGTTACAGAATAGTAGTACATCAGAAAAAATGACCAAATGGATAAAGAAGATAAAACCAAATACAAACCACGACATTAAAGCATGTGCTAAGCATTCCAGCCAAGATGAGGTTACTCTCGCGTAATTCCCTGGGGTCAAGGGAAAAGAGGAAAAGAGGACAATAAATCAAAGGTCAAAAGTGTATAAACCAAGAAAAACCACCAAGAAAGAAAGAAATTCAAGATACATAAGCGCACTATCATAATTAACTGCAACAAAATCAAATGTGATTTTGTGAGTTATAATGCCTTCAAAAAATAATAATTCGAATTAAGCAATGGTCCAAGAAGGTAATGGATTATCAACCATCTGCTCACACTAAAGCATAAAAATAATTACCCATCATATTCTTTTGGAATTTATATTTTCCTATTTAGGAGGATAAAGCAGTTTTCAGTAGCACCAACAACAACTTACTCTTAAATAACTTCTAAAAAGAAAAGTCAGTCATTGATCAATTTCTTTGTTGGGAGGATATTTTGGCAGACATGAAGGATCACAGGCAAGTGGTTTTGTGGTAAAATATTGTTACAAAAAAATTCAATCAAAAACTCTCATAAAAATCATACGACAATGAAAAAGAATTAATATGAAACAAGTATTCAAACACTTCAGAGTTCAGTAGTGTGAAGATAATAAAGAAATCACCTTCCACTAAACTTAAGACATTATAATAGAGTAAATCCATTCTGGATGACGTAAAATGACAACTGAAGGTAAACACAGAAAAAAATAAATGGAAAAATTCGTAGGACAAGGGTCGTAAGTTCAGAGATGGTATAATTTTTCATTCCTTTATAAACTTCTCAATTTTTTAAGTGTATTTACATTATTAAAATTATAATTGTTATTATTTTCCTTTTTGAGTGTGTGATAGGCTCTGCATTCCCTTTATCCCAAATATATATATATATATTCATGAAGTTCAAAAAAATGGGAACTTATGAAAGAGAAACTCTCAGGCTACCTAGACCATGTAATGGTAGCTTGAGAACACATTTACATGTTAAGGATAGTTGAATTGCCTTCATTGCATATTTGTATAATTTTGTGAACACATGCATATTTGCAAATGGGGATTACATAAAAGGAACATCAAGCCGGTTGTAAATAGGCTTTCCTTATGCTTCCATTTGATTCAGTAGATTGGGGAAAATAAATTCCAAGAAAAAGCCAGATTTTGGTTTGATTGTTTTTCTCCTGGTTAATGTTTGGTTCAATGGAATGAAGTTGAATGGAATGATCATTTCATCAAATTGGAATCGTCATTCACCATTGTAAAAGAATGATCATTCTACAAGAGAGCCTAAGGAATAATCATTCCATCCCATTCCAATCAACCCAACAGAGCATAAGTTCCAAAAATTTAACAAGGTAAAAAATTTCAGGAAAGCAAAAAAATATCAAAAAACATCCTAGATTTTGACCCCAAAGCTGTTTTACCTAAAAAGAATTTTGGTCAAATGTTTAACAAGGAAAGTCTCTCTCTCTCTCTCTCTCTCTCAAAAAACCCAAAACAAACACCCATTGAACCCTCTGTATTTTTTCTTACGGGTTGTTCGAATAAATGATCAATGACGAATAACAGTTACGAATATTGAATAATGATAAATATAATTATCAAACTTTTCTTTAATTTTGTTTTTCTTTTCCTTCTGTTCTTTTCTGTTTTAAATACTCCCACACAATATTAAACCCACCCACAAATAATGGAAAGACTGTTCTTCGTGTTACATGTGATCTTTATTCATTTGTTCCATGTTATATAGACAACATTTTACACTTCGTGCTTATCCAAACAACCAACACAAAGAATGAACATCAATATCCGAGAAAGCATATAGATCTCAAATAGATTTGAAAAATTAGAGATCTGAGTTCATACAAAACAAATGCATATATAATAAAAACTTACAGATCTGAGTTCGAGTAGTTTGGCAAGACAGAAAGAAGCAATCGATTGAGATGCGAGATCTAATAAAAACATAATAGAGATGCAAGATATGAGTATGAATGTATACACTCTTCAACCCACCCCAAAAAAAAAGAAGAAGAAAAGAAACAGCTAAACAAATTGAAACTCACAAAATCGAGGAAGAAAAGAAACAGCTAAACAAATTGAAACTCACAAAATCGAGAACCAAACTTCAAAATCTGTAATCCAAGTGGTGGCCTTCAAATCATCGCCAGATCTGAAATCGAGCAAGAGAGAGAGTTTTCGAAGTCGAGTGAGAGAGTGTGTTATTTGAATTTGAACCACAAATCTGGAGGGCGCAAATCTAGAGACTGAGAGCCGCAAATCTGGAGGAGTAGACTGAGAACTTTAATCACTTAGATTCAAATCTCCAAATCTTCAAATCTTCGACAATCACTAGCAAATCGCAAATCTGGAGCGAGAGAGTGCGTCTTTTGATTTTGCTTAGAATTTGAGCTCGATAGAGAGAGAGAGAGAGAAATGGCAGCTTTAGGGCTTTAGGATATGGTAAAGGCGTCAGCCAACTAACACTCGAAGACACTGTTTAAATGAAATACAACACATCGCTTTAAAAACGTTGTTTTAATTGAAAAATAGTGGCGTTTTCATAAACGTCATAAAAAAAACGTTGCCATATCCCCATTTTCCTATAGTGATGAAAGAATGAAAACTTATTTTTGAAATGAGTAAAATAAACTTTTTATTTTTTATAAAAAATTTAGTGTGGTTTGTCTATAATTTTTAGAAACAAAATTAGGCACCAAATGAGTTTTTGTATACAGTTTTTAAATTATTTATAAACATAAACGTTATCATGCCTTGAAAACTAGTTGATTCAGTGACGGGTTTTGACAAGAGGCTGGAATTTAATTTTGAATTAAAAAAACTAGCAAAGTTTTGACAAATGGCTTGAACCCACTGATTATTTACTTTTAGGAGTCGTGTGGTTTTGCCCCACCAAAGTTAGATTCTTGTGTTTGTCATGTTAGGAAATCATCTCTTCCTAACAAGGATCAGTGAGACACAAAATAGCACAAGAAAGATAAAAAGAATTGAAGAAATCACACACACAAGAATACAAAGATTTACGTGATTCACCCTAAAATAGGGTTATGTTCACGGCTACTACGATTTTTACTATGATCAGAAAACAATTCAACTCTGACTCTTTACAGTACAAGAGGTGCCCCCTTCATCTATTTATAAGTATAAAAATTAGGACGATGCAGAAGTAACAAGAAATTATCAAAGTACCCAAAATATTTGGACCCCTCATCCCTTGGGGGAGCCCCCCCAAACCCGCCATTGGACCCAGGGCTTAGTGTACAATACTTATCAAGGTTCACAAGATCCAACATGTCCCTGTGTGCATTCATGCAACATAAGTTTGCCAAGTATTGTGACATGTAAGAGCACTGTTAGCTCTATCTTCAGTTGAGGTACGATAATAATAACAATATGCACTGAGGTATGAAAAGTGATGACCACTTTGGAAAAGTTGATCAAAAGTGAAGATTGCAAATTGGATCAGGAAAATTAAAAGATGGAAATCACTGATGACTGAGTTTGTTTTTAAAAAAGATATTAACTATTTCAAGTCCTAGCATTTTGACTAGAATACCTGATTTGGTTAACGGGCATGCTGGTCATGACTTATGTATAAGTTTTACAATTACATTCTAAGGAAATTTGAATATTATGTGTACCAAATTTTGTCAAATTACTTCCATTTTCAAGTCCTAAGCTGTTTCACTGATGATGTTTCTGACTTTCAATTTGCAGGGGATATCTATGAGCATGCAGTTGTTTTAAGTGTGAAGATTGAGGATCAGGATGCCTTTGATAATTTCAATTTGCAGGGGATAATTTCAATTTCCATTTTCAATTTTGTCTGCTGCACACATTAGTGTCTCAGTATTTTCTTCTTGAAGGTCGACACTACTGTCTTGAGGGTCGACCTCTGTGAGTAAATTTTAGATTTTTGGGTACGGTTTGGGCCTTACTTTTGGGGGGTTTTGACCTATTCTTTTCATTGACTTTGGGGCTATTATTCTACTACTATAAATAGGCTCCAAACACACTTTTCTCATTATTTCTTTTCTCTCTCTTTCTCTTTTTCATCTCAACACCGTGATTCTCTCTTCTTTCTCTTTCTAAACTCAACTTTTTCACTTACATCTTTAGATCTACTCACTTAGAGCTATCTTTTCACCTTTCTTTTCACCTTGGTCCTTTGAGAAAGATTGTAGATTTGGTCAAGGGCTTCCTTTTGATCCAAATAATTTGTGGTTTCGTCACTGGTGATTTTTGGGTTGTCTCCTCTTCGTTTCAAGAGGTAGGGATTTCTTTGCTCCTTTGAAATACCTTGTCTATAGATAAACATGTGGTAGATTTTATTGCATAAAAACCATATTCATTATGGATTTTCTTGAAAGTCATGAAAAGGGATCTAGGGTTTGATATTTTTGATTGAAGTTGTTAAGTTAGTTGTTATTTGGGTTAATTGGAAAGTAGTTTAACATGTTTATGTTGAGAGGGAGGAAAGCCCTCATTTAATATTATTGACTTAATGGATTTAAAAGGAAGGAAGTTGAATAATCTTTTGTATTTTGTTAATATGGATTGTGTAATTGTGTTAATATCTAAATTGAAGAAGTAATAATGGTATTGGAATTGTTTGGATTAATCATGTTGAGTGGGGTTGGGTTGTGGCTTTGGCATCAAGGATGTGGTTTTTTTTATTTAAATGAAGAGAATGAATTTTTAGAAAATGATTGGAGTAGTGTGGATTGAAAAATAAGGAAAATTGGTTTTTGGAAAGAAAATGAAATCATAACCCTTCGTAAATTAATAATGAATTTGAGGTCGGATTTTGAAACCTTTACATATTCTTCTTGTTATTGGACTTAAGGTCTCGTGAAAATTGGATTGTTGTCTTACGTGTATTTAATACATATGCTTGAAAGTTTTGTCCTTGGTTATCGGTGGATTATGGCATTGTTGTGTTGAATAATATTGTGTATGTAGTACACTTGTGTTATTATGCATTCTAGTATGTTGAAATGGTTGGAAATATTCACGCGTTGAGAATGAAAGGTACCATTACCTTCCAGCCAGCGCTTGGAGAATTGGTCGCGCTTAGAATGAGAGGTACCAGTACCTTCCAGCTAGCGCCTAGAGAACTTGGCAGAAGTACCATTCACTGTGTTTGGTTTGAGTTTTCTGGATTAAGTTTTTTGAAAATTGACTTTTTTGGTTTTTGTGTTTTTTTGTTTTTAGTGAATATTTTTTAAATTTTAAACATTTTTTTTTTACTTTTTTAGATGCACCTTACTTAGATGTATCTACAAAAATAAAAAATTTGTGAAAAAATATTTTAAAAAATTAATAAATACATAAAAATACAAAAAATGTACTGAATTCTTGTATTTTTTTTGTATTTTTGGTATTTAGTGAATTTTTAAAAGATTTTTTTTACAATTTTTTTACTTTTTAGGTGTATTTATGTTAGGTGTGTCTAAAAAGTAAACAAATTGCTTAAAATATTAAAAAATTCAATAAAAACAAAAAAACACGGAAAATAAGAAAGTAGAATTCTCTGAAAAGTGTTTTGGAAAATTGGAAACCAAGCAAGGTGGTTACCTTCCAGCCGGTGTTTGGTAAATTGGCAGAGGTACCATTATCTTTCAGCTTGTGTCTGGTAAATTGGCATTTTGTAATGGAAAGGTGTATCTTTGGCTTACTATGCTTAAGGCAGGTAGAACATTGTTTCGTTTCTCATTTTGTTTCGATGTATCCTTGTATATCATGAGTAGGTGATGGTTATAGTTGGGTGAGGTCGGATTGTTTTATGCGATACTGTAGTAATCATTGTACATGTATTGATTTCGTATTCGTGTTAGGACATATATATATGTACATAGGCGTATTGGATGAGTTGTTGAAAGTGTTTCTTGACCATGGATTTAGGGCCGAGGGAATGTGATGAATGTATCAGAAGTGAACATATGTTTCGTATTGGGCATAAATAATGAGAAGTAATCGGGTTTTGTGAAAGTATTTTTTTTTAAAAAACAACCAGTTGTGATGCATTATTTATAAATGGGAAATAAGAAAGAAAAGTGAATTGTTTGTATTGTTGGGAAAATTGAATGATTTTGAGAAAGGTACCTATGTAAGTATATTTTCAGTATAAACCGTCACGTTATGTATATGATATGATATAAAGCATTCATGATCATAGCTATATATATGTTATTGTTTAGGATCATGTTGGGATCCTTACTGGACTTTATGTTCATCTCACGTTGCTAATCATTTTTCAGGTGAACGTCGAGAGGTGTTTCAAGATCGAGGATCTCATTATCTGTTGGTCATGGGGCCTTTTATTTGTGGGCAGAATGCCATTGATGTAAAGGGGTTAAACTCTTTCCTTTAATTTAAAAGATGTAAGCCTATGGATAATTTATTTAATTATAACTCTTGTTGTATTCATATTGTGTTCGGATGAGAGAATCTGTATTCATGTGTTCTTGTTATTGTAAAAAGCTTTCGCATGTTATCCCTGAAATTAAATCTATAATAATGGTTTGGTAATAGAATCTGAGTAACAAAAAGAGGGGCGTTACATTAGTTTTGTGCCTTTAGTAGTTCATTGTCTTTCGCAGAGATGAAATAGCTGGATGCTGCAAAAAGGCCTACGATTCACTTTCAATTAATGATGCCCGGAAAATATTGTTGTTCTTTTCCGACAAAGAACTTTTTGAATATGTCAAAGAGGTAAAATTCTTGCTGCTAAGCTCATTTTCATTCTTATTGTTAACCAATGGAATACATTAATGGCTGGATCTACTTTGGCCGTCTATAGTTAAAGGGAAGTGCTAACCATTTATTTTTCTTGTTTTCTGTTTTTCTTTATTACCCATCATTTTTACTTGCCCCCTCTAGGCCAAGAGCTATATTGAGCAAAATTTTGTTGGGTAATATGATATGGAATATTACAGTGTCTACACAATAAAAATTGGATTCTACGTCCTGTTTTAATATTTGTTGTTCCTCTATTTGCTTCTCAATAGTCTATTAGGTCCTAGTCTGGTGCTTGGAAATGGTGAGGAAAGCAGAAAGAAAGTAGAAATAAATGAGAAAGAAAAGTTTTTAAAATTTTTCTTCCTTATTTTGTAGTACATAAATAAATATTAAATTTAAAAAAAAATCATAAGAAATGGTAAGAAATCAAAAATAAGAGGGAAAAAAATGATATTAAAAGTTGACGAGTTTGTTTGGTTTGTATCTTAAGATATAATTTTTGAAAAAAAAAATTCAAAATTTTGTTTGGTTCAAATATTTTGAATTTTTTTTTTCCAAAATCACTTTCTCTCTGCACATCAATCAATCACTTTTTCTGTCTCATCTCTCCTTCTCAATCACTTTTTCTTTCACACACATCTACTCAATTACAATAAAATATCAAATCATCCTAAACTCCAAAACTATTTTCAAAAAATTCAACCAAACAAATCAAAAAAATTTCTAAACTCTCTTCCCAATTTTTTTTTTTGAAAATTTATCTCGAAACACAAATCAAACACACCCGACATTTCTCTCCCTTTATTCACCATGTTTTCTTTTCTGCACTATTTTCCAAGGTAACCAAATGAAGAAAAATGACTTCCTTTCTATTTTCCTGTTCCTTTTTTTTTTAATCACCAAATCAATTAATCAAATAGAGCGTAGATGCAAGGGCTTTGTGGAGTTGCAATATATGCATTATTTATGGTTTATCATTCTATACTTAAGTGATAGTATATTAACCTTGTATTAATGATAATACCAAAATCCACCAACATGGAAGCCTTGTTCTTGATTTGGTGTCCAATGCAAGGGTTCTTTGATATGCTTCGTTTTATATGCAATTTGCAGGAACATCCTGAGTGCGAGATAAAGAACGGGTTTGTGATTTTCCAAAAGGCAAAAGAATCTGCACCTCGCAAGGAGATACCATCTCTGCAACTCATCAATCAGACACTCAGTTATGCAAGGGAGTTGGAGAGAATAGTGTGAAAGATATGTTGCTCGATGTTGTCAATGCTACTACCATTCTATGGTCCAACTTCCTGATGCTGAACTTGTGTTTTGTTGAATTTTTTTCTTGACGCTAGGATCACTTAATGTAGTTAAATTTGTTCACTATTCGCAAATGTGCATTCAGAGCATTTTGTTTTGGCTTCCCCTTAATTGAATACTTGATTTCTTTTTCTTTCTTATCATTTACGGAACACTGTTTATTTTAATTGCAATCTCTGTGTAAGGAGAACAAGAAAATTAAACTGGATGGCTTATTGGATTAAGAATCCTTTCTCTCTCTCTCTCTCTCTCTTGCGCGCACACGTGCACACACAACACAACTCTTACTACGTATGTAGCATGACATAGGTGGGCCCATAAGGACTACTGGCCTTCCATTTAGAACCCAATACACGATCCAAACATTAAGGCCCAACATTATTGAAACCCAATATGGCACCAAGAACCAATGGCATCTAAACACTTGTCAAGAGGAGAACCAGCCATATAAGCAGACAAAGATCTTGTAAAGTTATTGCACCAATTGCACCACACATCAGCCATTAATGAGGTTCCTGGCAGCATTTAATGCGATAACCCCTCACGTTGGGACAGAACAGCCTCACCATGAACAAGGCAAGCTTGAATATAGACTGTCGGCCAACATGACAGGTCGGAGTGGACAAGGAAATGATGAACAAAGGATATAAGAAAGTTTCTCGGACAAAAAGAAGGTTAAGTTCTTTACCACCATTCTATCTCTACGTTCCACTAATCCCTTTCTTCTAACTTGCTCATCGGAGGGTTCGCTGGGGGACTCCCATTCCCCGTTGGACTTTTGTGCAGGTATCATCAGTTCCAGCAACCGGACAACGGTGTGAAAGGCATGAATTAACCTGACCCATCCATAAGGGACTAGTAGTATCATCAGCTGGCATTGTCTATGGGAAGCTACTACTCCGCATAACAGTTGTGCTCATTGTTATCGGGGACCCATTCTCGATAATCCTTCTCCTCCGGCCATCAAGGTGGATGGTCACGACGAGATCCATGGCTTCCCACCACAATGTTGTCGACCCCCAAGCCGACCCTCCTAACCCAAACAACCCACCTCAGTACTTCACAGAACTCACCAACAGCATCAACCATTTAGCTGAACAAAACCAAGCCTTGTGTCACGACCCCAAACCGCCCCTAGTAGTTTGGTGCCGTGATGGCCAGTAATCCATGATTACCAAAGGCCAACTTCCAAAATTCACACACAATCAGAGTATAGATATAGGGGGCTCACAAGTGCGGAAGCAATAATCTAAAATACAATGGTCCATAAGAGCAGTGCGTAAGTCAAATGAAATGGCATACAACTTTACATAGCTTTACAACTTGAATACAAATAGAAATGAAGTACAAAAATACATATTACATCTTGGTAAAAGGCTTCTCAAGCCGACATGTTCAAAATACATAAGCCTCAAGATTGCCGACATCCTCACAGTCGACATAACATGCATACAAAACACACATCTCGGCGTAGTCGACTTCTTGCTTGTTACCTACATATATACATAGGAAGGGTGAGCTTGGATACTCAGTGAATGGTATAAGTAATAAAGGGGTTAAATGAATGATTCCCGAGGTCCTTGTCAAAACAATACATATATATCTTTGTCAAAACCATACTTATCATAGCTTGTACAAAACATGAGATAAATCTTGTTCATCAAACTTGATCTTACAAAACTTACTTACATACGTCAAGCCTTATAACATAACCTCGGCATAACCTTGGTCCTTCAACACTTACTTACTTACTTACATAGACCCACGCGGTAAACTGTCAGTGGCAAAACAAGACCAAGTAAGAGCCCGTAGCCCTTTAACACTTGGGTGCTGCTCAAGTTTAGAGTCCTCCAGCACAAGGGACTTATGTTACAAGAGCCCGTAGCCCTTTAACACTTGGGTGCTGCTCAAGTTTAGAGTCCTCCAGCACAAAGGACCTATGTTACAAGAGCCCGTAGTCCTTTAACACTTGGGTGCTGCTCAAGTTTAGAGTCCTCTAGCACAAGGGACCTATGTTACAAGAGCCCGTAGCCCATTGACACTTGGGTGCTGCTCAAGTTTAGAGTCCTCCAGCACAAGGGACCTATGTTACAAGAGCCCATAGCCTTTTAACACTTGGTGAATGTCGTCAAACAAAGCTTACTCGATACATTGCCATTCAAAACAAAGCTTATACTTGATACATAAAACAAGGATATCATTCATGCTTAACAAATACTTTTATCAAACAAGGCAAGGCTTTATCAAAACTTTAAGAACATAACTTTATTCAAAATACCACTCACATTAGTTCTTGGGACGTCGGGATCAAGGCAAAGGTCCAAGTCCTACAACACATGGCAAAGCATACTGAACATACTTCTCAAAACAAGCCTAACATGCATGCAACGATCTCGGGAAAACATGCTAGAAGTCAAAACACTGTTTTACATGTTAGGAAGACATGCTGGGTACCAACCAGGTCTTTGCCGAGGTCCCACACCTCTTGGCCGAGGTGTGGCTACCTAGGCTTCGCATGCGGCCGCACGCCGAGGTGCGCACAAGACAAACTGAAAGTGTAAGTGATCATGCAAAGGTAGGCCAAGGTGAGATACGATGCTTGGCCTAAGTGTGAGGTCTAGGTGAGAGTGATCTCGGCGACTACACCTCGGGAAGTGAGGTCTGGAGATCTGGGTTTCCACCCGTGAAGAACAGGAAGAACATGAACATGAAGATCATGAAGAACATGAATGCTAAAATCATAACTACTTTATTTACAAAATCTGGGATTTCATGCTATGAGTTCGTTATTATAAAAATCTGGGATTTCATTCTATGAGTTCGAAAACATGGACTTGGGTACTCATACTTTAAGATCATGTGAAAACAAACACAAAAACATGGATCTTGGCATGAGCTTTCGGATCAAAACATGACTTTTCTTGAAGAACACATGAATGCCATTTTCTCTTTCTAAAACCGAACTTCAAAGCAATGCATGGCTCACAAATCATATTCAATCATGCAATACAATAACATGAACATAAAGAATGACGAGAGTAGATTAAGAATCTAACCTTAGAACGCGGATCTAACGGTTCGATCTCTAGAAATCAAGCTTAGAAATCCACTCTCTCTCAAGAACTCTTCTTCCTCTCCTAGAGCTTCTCTCTCCTCTTCAAAACAAGTATACAACAAAATGATGGGTTCTCTCTCTCTATCGGCTGACTTAACTCTCAGCTCGGACACGTGGCAACGGCTGGTTGGTTCTCTTCAAAAAGGTGATAGATTGACAAGACAAGACAATGACAAAGCGTATCTAACAAGCTACTCGGAATGGCACTCTGGCAAGTGATGACATCGGCTAAGGACAAGGCTTCGGCAACTAAGGTGACGATGACCTCGGCTAGGAAGGACAACACTTGACTAAGCTGTGCCACACCTTGGCCTAGATGTGCCACACCTCGGTCTAGGTCATACCACTCCAGGACAAGATCACTTAGGTGCAAAGGTAACATCTCGGCCTAGATAATACACATCTCGACCAATATGTCAAAGCAAAGGTGGAGGTCAAACGAAGGGATTCCAAGATACTTCTAGACTGAGGATGACCTCGGCTTGGAATGATCTAGGCATAACGTATCCTAGGCTTGGCATAACCTAGGCTTAACATGTCCTAGGCTTGAGACAACAAGGGAGGAACAAAGCATGCACACAAACACTTAGACAAATCACATAAACACAAAGCAAGACGAGATTCATGGATGCAAACTTAACAAGACAAGCTATGTAAATGAACTTGGATATGACTATTGACACGAATATGGGTTGTTACAACAATCTTAACATGGCAAAACATATAAATGTATGCAAACATGACTAGGACAAAAATGTGGGTTGTTACACCTTGATCAATGCTTTGCTTCAGCGAGACCTCCCTGTGCCTTCTCCACCACCACAAGATATTCCACCTAACCAAGAACGAACCTCGAGCCATCCTTTCCAACAAGCCCACCTCTCCAACCTGGAGGGTTTGCGACCCCCACCTCAAGACATGAACCCGCCACCTCGAGGTCTACATCCATCAGGTCAAGCACCTGCTCTCGAAGGCGAGGCTAGCAGTGTCCAACCCCCATTGCATTCCGGTGGTGACAATGTTCCTATCTGGGATGCGGAACTCTGAGCCATGAAACTCCAGCTTCAAGGAGTCATGCAGAACATACAGAATAAACCTTCCACAACAGCCAATTCCCTGTTTGTTGCCTCCATCAGGGACAAACTCCTACCTCCCAAGTTCAAAATGCCCTCGATCGACTCTTTCGACGGCACGATGGACCCAGTTGACCACTTGGAGACTTACAGGACCCTAATGATCCTCCATGCTTTCCCCGACGAGATCATGTGTCGAGCTTTGCCCATAACGCTTAAGGGGTCGGCTCAACTGTGGTTTAGTCAGCTGTCGACGGACTCCGTCTCTACTTTCCAACACCTAAGTGATTCATTTCTTAGCCACTTCATCGGTGCTCAGCACCAGCGGCGCCCGGCGACTCAACTCCTCAACATCTGCCAGACGGAGGGGGAGTCGCTGCGTAGCTTCGTTACCCGTTTCAACACCGAAGCCTTACAGGTGGCAGAAAATGACGACAAGGTCATCCTCACCACTTTCATGGCTGGTTTACGATCATCCGACTTCCTGTTCTCCCTCTCCAAAAACCCTCTAACCTCCATGGCCACCCTTTTTACCAAAGCCTAAAAATATATGAATGCTGAAGATTCTATGGCAGCCCGCCAAGATACCCCAACCAAAAACTCAACCCCCAGGGAGAAGAGGAAGGAATCTGAAACCAGACCATCCCAATATACACAACACACTCCTCAGTATATCGACCGACCCGTTCGTGCAGACCGACCGGCAATTACCCGACCACCTGGTCGGTTCGAGCGGTACACTCTTCTAA